AAAGGATTTGTTATATAGGTGTCAAAAAATACGAAATATTCGTTTTTTAAAAATATACTTTTATCCAACAATAATTTATACCTGCAGAATTTTAGATTCTGAATGGAGCGAAGAAGCTTATGGTTTTACAAAGATGTTTATTTTTTTTTTTTTTTTTATCTATGTGCAATATTTTTCTCAGAAGACTTGCTCAGATTTCTACGTGTAGTACCTTTTCTGAAAAGAAATCGGCGTGGGAAGGTACTTAAGAAAGTAATTTTTCGATTTTTTCATTAAATGCGAAAAACCGAAAAAAAAAAACAGGATAATTTACGAAGTATAATAAATATATTTTACGATTTTTAAACGTAGAAAAACTGGGAAAAATGGTACAATATTAAACAAATTTTATTAAAAAAAAATATATATATAAAGCCTATTTAATTATTTTACTATAAAATTACATATATATATATTGTTGACAAAACATCACTATCAATTGAACTCCGCTTAGAACCTTTTTTTTTTTTATAAACAATGGTCTATCGTTGCTTATAGATAAATATTGAATTCCTGTCTATATCCTACTTTCCCAACTTCTTATCTACACCAGTGGTTGCACATGTCGCCATTATCTTACCTTTCTTTTCAAACATGTTACGCGACTGAAGCAAGAATTTAAGCTGAAATAAATCTAAAAACACAAAATTAATATTTCGGGATGATATTAATATTATTTGATTTAAATGTGAGTGAATAACTGAGTATTAAAATTTAACGTACCTACCTAGTTGATGAATTATTTTGACGTTTGTACGAGAAGGTGACGTAAACCATGAGTTATGCACGCTGATATAATGTTTGTTCGTTTTTCGAGTTTCACATTAACAATTATCTGCAGAAAGTTTTTGTACTGTATTCAATCAAACGGCTGTACACCTATAGCTGTGTCCAAAAATGTGATGGTAAAAAATTAATAAATAAATAATTACATCGAATTTAGATAGTAATATACTCGTATGAATTGGCATCTACTTATATCAAGACTCCTGAACAAGTGTTACGTCGTTGGAAAATCGTCACTCGGTGTCGGTTATTGGGGTGTGTTTTGATGTTTTATGAATTCTGAGCAAAGTGAGGAATGTGTTGGTTTTACAACGATGTTAATTTTTAATTGTATTATTATTTTTTTTTATCAATAAACAACTTTTCTATCAGAAATCTTGCTCCGATATTCAAGTGCAGCGACTTTATTCAAAGGAAATTTAATCTGGATGATACTCATTTAGGTTTTCATAATAATTGGGAAAAACGTAGGAAAAAATGGGAAAATTTACGAAATGTATTATTTTCAATATTGTTTTTTGTTGTTGTGAATCAGTTGAAAATATATGTAGAGACTTGAAATTTTGACAAAAACTTATATTTGTATTTTCTAGACGTAGTAAAATTTCCAAAACATTCCAGTCATTTTTAAACATTTTAATTTTGCAAATTTTTTCCGTAATTTTATTCGGTAAGTATTCTGTGGATAAAATTGTTTGACCGAACAGAAATACTTGAAAATTTACCAGTTATAATTCGTATTTTGTGGTAAAAAAAAAAAAAAAAAAAATTGATAGTTATGTAGAATTTTTTTTATAAGAATTTCGATGAAAATCGTAAATATTACAGCCTCTTAAAAAATGTAGGTTTAACTGAATTCCGCCCAGAATATTTTTTGAACGATTAACCGTTGCGTACATATATATATATATACTGCAGAATTCCTCTCTGTGTGTCGAAATAGCCACAGGGTAGCCATCTATTTCCCTTACTTTTCAAATTCTCAATATTTTTATTAATACTCTCTGTTCTATAACTGCTCTATGTAACTGTAAATAATTATGTATTCTTGTGTATAAATAACTGACTGACGTTAATTGACAATATATTCTACCTTCCCAATTTCTCACGTACAACAGTGGCCTTCTCGTCGGGTGAAGTGTGTCAGTCTTTTTTTCGGGGGGATTTATGCATTTTATTTTAACTACGTCCGACATGATACATTTTAAAATGGTAAGGAACATGGTAATAGTACGGAGCTTTCTCGGTTAATAATTTATCACAATACAACTCGTTATGTCATCCTTATGATAACACTCTTGATCTAGTTTTTACTAATTTAAATTTATTGTCAGTAGATTTATGCACTAGTCCACTAGTTACGGTTGACAAACCATATCCTCCGTTAAGTATAAATTGTGTGTTTACTGAAATTATGGCTTTACCGAAACTACCTATAATTCGTATTAATTTATAATTTATTTTTTAAGTATTTCCTTGGCTTTGAATATTATTAAATGGTATGATTTATTTTTTAACTTTAACATCGAAACGGCCGTGGATCAATTTTATGTCACGGTAAATTTTATTTCACACGAGTTTGTATCTATCTACAACATATTTAATAATAAGTTCCCTCGATGGTTTGACGGTAACTTACGTAGGTTGATAAAGGAAAAACGCCAAGCGCTTAAACATTATAAAAATTATCCTAGCCCGTCGAGTTATTTAAATTTCTCGGAACTTCGCGCCAAACGTAAATATTTTTCCAAAAGATGTCGTGTACAATACATCCGTAAATTTAAGATAAATTTCTTACTAATCCCAGGCATGTTTGGCGCTTTGTAAACGGGCGTTATAAAAACAATTTAATCCCCTCTTCTATGTCTAATGATCATTCAACTTTTGGTAATAGCCAAGCCACATCTAATGGATTTGCCGATTAATTTTCCTCGGCTTACATAGATTCTCAATCGTTGAATGGTCGTCAGTCGCCAAAATGGTTATCTGTAAATGTTCTAAGCGTTTCATTTTTAGATGTAACCTTATCTGACGTTTTCGAAGGTCTTGCTAGTATGGGCCAAGATTGCACTTACGGACCGGATGGATTGCCTCCAATAGTTTTTTCTAATTGTTGTTACGCTCTTGCTTGTCCGGTTTTTATTTTATTTAATATGTCTCTTGCTCTTGGTATTGTTCCTCATCTGTGGAAGTCTAGATTTGTAATATCAATATTTAAGTTTGGTAATCGTAACATAATAAGTAATTATCGTCCAATCTCTAAATTAAATCTGTTACCCAAACTTTTAGAAAAGTTAATAGAGTCTAAACCAACTAGTTTGTTTAATAGTGTTATAATAAATTAATAGCATGGTTTTTAAAATCGCAAGGATTGACTCGTACTAATTTGTTAATTTTTATTACTAATTTATTTAGAACCATGGAAAAAAAAAAGGACAAGTTGACACTATTTATAGAGACCTAAGTAAAGCATTTGATACGGTAGATTATGCTTTGTTATTAAATAAGCTTAGTGCTATTGGTGTTGGTGAACCCCTATTATCGTGGTTTAGTATCATATTATCATATTTCCTTTATTTATGGCAAAGCGATGCGCATGATATGATTTATCAGGCATCAATGCTCGGACTTCAATGACATTCAGTTTCTAAAAATGTTAATATGTTCTCTCGTTCGTTCTAATTTGGAGTATGGGTTAATAATTCCCGTCCCAGTTTTGCCTTATAAGCCGTTTAAATAATATACGATCTTACTTCTTAAGACATTTATCTTTTAAGTTTAGGGTACTATGTTCAATAAAGGAACTTGCTTTGAAACTAGGTATGCAATCACTTTCCTCCAGACGTAAACATAACGATGCATAATTTATTTTTAAAGTGTTTAACGATATTATTTGTCCTGAAGTTCTAGAAGAAATTGGTTGGTTGGTTCCATATTTCTACAGCAGGTTTACAAAAACCTTTTACGAGTCATTTCGTTCTCAAACGTATAGTTTTAATGAATCCAGAAGCTGAATGCTAAGGATTTGTAATTTATTAGACGTCGATTTTAATTATGATTTGGGTTTTAAACTTCGGCATTAATGTATGGATTTGAATAATATGAAGAAAGGAACGAGGATAAGTTTTATTAGATATTTAGCAAATATGATAACCAGTTATGATAAATCTACAGTTTTTTTATAATTATATATATTATTATATATTTTTATTTTTTTTCCCTCTATACATTATCAATTCTTTCTGTGAGTTGAATTTTAACTACTTGGATTTTCACATGCACACTCTATTGCCCTTATTGGGCGTAAATAAATATTATTATTATTTTTTACGCAATAAATACGAAAATAACCAAAAAAAAACCAATATTATTATTACAATACGCATTTATAAATAAAAGTAATGTTATAGTCTGTATTATTTTAAATCTATAAGTTTTTGCTTCTACTTTTTATAACGTGAGTCAAACGAAGAAATTATCAGTATTACAGTTTATTTTTACGGAAGACACTTTTATGGTTAATAAAATTCTTTTGTCTGACAGTATTTCATTTAATATTTTTATTCGAAATTCTCCAAAGTTTGTTCATAAAGTTGCTTTTAGCGGTTTTTTTTTTTAAATATTAAATACTTTTTAAGTTAGAAGAATGCTTAATTTTTTCACGCAGTACATTAAAAGATGTGGACATTTTGTCCCTTGGTACTAATATTTATCGAAATGTTCAGCAGTTCATCCTTTAGTTTCATTTTTTTTTCTTTGGTTAATTTCTGGGTAATCTTGGCAATAACAATGGGAAAAACACGATTAATACATACAACTCTGCTTAGAATTGTTTATTCGTATGCAGTGATTTATCGTCGCATACGTGGTACATTACTCCGTACATCTCTTTTTATCTACCCTTAGTATTCCATTTTATCTACAATCTACCTACCAATAACAATGGCCTATAATACTCGTGACAGAATCTACTTCCCCCTTCCCCCCACTCGATGTGTATATTTACAATATTATATAGGTACCCATTTGGACGAGACATAATTTGTTAATGGAAAGGACATAAAAAAACAATGATCAATAACATTTTGAATTCATTATTATTATTATACCATAATATTATTATGTAACGCAACGAGAAACTTAAATAACTTTTTACAACAAAAAAAAAATATAGGTTTCTACAGACTTTTTTTCGATACTTAAAATGTATACATTTATGTTTAACTATATATAATAAATATTTATGAGTATAATAATTTGTATACTTTAAAAAAGAAATAATAACTGCAAATTTAATATAAACAATTAAACATAATATAACCGGATACTTAAACCGTAACTGATAACATAACCGATAATACAAACTAATAAAATTATACTCGATTTTATATATCTTACGAATTACGATAGTATATAGGGCTAATTGACGATATTTTTGTTTGTTTATTTTATATCAACATAATTGTTATGGCAGGCATAGGTGTGTTAACATTACGTATTCCGATCTTTTATTGTCCGACGGGAAATAACTATAATAATAATTGTTGTGTTAATAACAATTGGTAGTGGAGGGAATAATCATTGATAGTTTAATAATATATTATGTCGCGTGCAGTAGTTATTGAACGTTTATTTATGAACAATTTTCTATATTATACGACACGTAAACCAGTGGCCACACTGGTGTTTTACGCAGGTGGCTTAATCGGGGCGGGTAGGGGAGAAGGCTCGAATAAACTTCATTGTTAGATAAATGACAAATAGTATTATTTAGATAAATTCGTATAATTACTGACGGCGTTCTATTACGTAATATCATAGAGTTGTAATTACGATTTGAGAAAATTGTCAACGGAAAACAAGTTTTTCGATATTACGTGTAGGTATTGATACTGTTGTAAACGTTGATTCGTTTAACTTGCGTGCCGTGACGGCCGCTAACTGCGAAGACTGTCAGAATGCTTAAAACGTATTTCGAAATAATATTATTATGCGTAGGTTAGGCGCACACGGATTTTTGACGTGATTCCCGCAGTGACGTACTTGCACCTTTATAAACCAGGGGAGACGTGACTTTTTATTTTTTATTATTCTGGGATAATAGTTTTGAAAATTCGACTTTGAGGAAATGTCTTTGTAATACCGCACGATATTGTTATTCGCCGGGAGGGAGCTCGTGAAACTCGTAAATACGTCACTGGCCGCAATCGAATTTTTGTTGTTCTAATTATTCTAAAGCGTATACTTATACACGTAAGTATACCTATACAATTTACGGGGCTTCGATTCAAATTATATTATGCAATAGTTCTTTAGGTAAACACCCGCAATACGACTCCGAATCTTTGTATAATTATTGTGTTTTTCACAATATCGATTATACGAATATTCGGAATAAATTAACTCGTGCACGCAAACCGGAGTCTGTATTTTATGGTTCTAAAAAAAAAAAAAAAAAAAAATTGTTTCTGGGAGACACGCGGGGCCCAGAATACGATATATACCCTAAATTTTTACCATCGCACTATCAATTAAACAGCGAATACATTTATTATTATTACTTTTTTTTTTTTTTGAGTGCTAGAATAGTTACTACAAATTAATCTTTTATCGTAATTTTGTATTATTTAAGAAAATATACCCCACACATACACAGTCCAGTGGCGGCTCGTATTGTAAGCAACGAGGCTAATATTTAGAAAATGATAAGGCGATAGGGGTTTTAATATACGCGGGGAGATGAATCTAATATAGATACTATCAGAAAAATGGAAACCGAATCGCTGTCACCGTTAACGTTATTATTTATTGCTTTTAGACTTTATTTATCGGAATAATTATTTTGGAAATTTAAAAATATTTAGAACCCGGTCAGTGTACTATAGTAGTTATGTATTGTGTAATTTTTCTGAAACCTATCCGAAATTAATTTAGAAGACGGCGTTTATGTAATAAATCGAGTATGTCGTAGGCCGCATAGAAAATTAATCTGTTTGCAAAAAGGCTCTTTGCGACGGGGTAACCCGTTAGCGAACTATTTATTATTTTTCCAAATGGCCAGTCGTTTTTCGGGTTTATTACAGACAAATAACAGTTAGGTCTTTTAAGGACTACAATTATTATAAACCTAGTAATTTTATTGTAATTTATTACAAGTACAAAAAAAAAAAAGAACACAAGAATTGTGTAAATATGTAAATTGTATAAGAGTACCTATTATATTTATTTAGTGAAGTTGTAAACTATTATTGTACAGTTTTTGACTATTGTAATACTATAATCATGTCACTAAATGCCATTGCCATTATGTCACTGAATAACTAACTATATAGTGAAAAGTTACAATCTATAATCTACTGATTTGTCATAATCTTGCAGATTCCATCACGTTATTATGTGTCGTCAATACGCATCTAGGTAGTATCTATGTATTTAAATAACTTATACAGTACAATAATAAATTACAATAAAATTACGATACAATAATTAGTGTAGTTCTTAAAAGGCCCAACTGCTGTTAGTCTGTCCGCAATAACCACGAAAAACAGCCGGTCGTTTGGAAAAATAACGAGTAGTTCGTTGCAACCGGATGACTCCATCGCAAAGAACCTAGTCTTTTTTACCAAACTCACCGATTTTCCATAGGGCCTACAAAATATTTATACTGTATAGATAGGTACGCGTTGTGAGGAAATCGTATATAGGAGACAGCGTCTGGTGAGCCGCCACTGATGACACGCGCAAATCTTTTTATCGAATGGCGGGTCAAGTTTCGTTAAAACGTCCGATAAAATATCATATTAATGCTAAAAGTCCGTAAAATAGGCCACCGCGTGATCGCTAGTATCATAAACTAATACAAAAACCGGACCGCGCTGCCGTTATTGAAATAATAATAATAATTATATTATGCACGCGTCACTGCAGTTGCAGGTTAAAATCATTGTCTAATATACACACATCGCTATATTAATTAATATATAATAATAATTTATAATATGCAAATAGGCGTGCGCGGACATTGACGGCAAAACGGCGGGCGGTCGGGTCGCGAGTTTTCAATTTGTCGTGTTTTCCAAAGCATATTGTACACTATATGGGAAATTCGAACTCGAAATGTCGAATAAAATAAAGAAAAAAAAGTAAAACAAACTAGTGATAAGGTTTTTTTTTAGTGGCAGCTCGATGCAGGACCACACGTGTTTGCGTGTCGAATTTTCAACATTTTTTACTATCTAAGCTAATGAAAAAAAAAAAATCAATCCGTATCCGCGTGAATAAAAACTTGACGATTCCCAATCGGGTGGGTGGGTGTACGGCGAATTACTCATGGAGAGTCGAAACATTTTTTGAAAACCAATAGTGTTAATAATGTATTATAAGTATTCCGTAAATATCTCGGGCGTCTACGATTATTTCTCACACTGAATTACAAAAAAAAAAAAAAAACAACGATATATCACAGTCATCTAAACACCCCCCCCCCTCCCTCTCGCCACCGAAGAGTAATCGGTTGGCTGCACAGAGTCTGTGTATATAGGGCGCGCGACATCATTGTGTCGGTCAAACGTATCCGGTGCGAACGGTGTCGCGAGCACAAAATAATATCATGTATAGGTACATATAGGCACAACACATTTTAAATTATAAAATATAGAAGATACTACAACACTATTTGGTCGAGGACGGCCCGTCCGTGTTTTATTAATAATAATATGATTGTCCAAATTATCGTGTGTGCCTATATAATAATAATAATCGGTAGCGATCGACACGAATCTACCGAATAACAAAGGGACGAATAACAAAGGGACGAATGAGCGTCGGGGCAAATCGGCAACCGCCCGAACCGAGTCCTCGTCAAGTAAATATCGAAGTTTGCATCAGAGTGCGGGGAGCCTGCACTCCCTCCCTGCCCCCAAAAAAAAAATATTCGGGCTATTTCGCCTAAAAGCCAACGAGTCCCCGTGTATAATATGTTATTAGTCTAGGATACGGGACTTGTTGCACTTGAAATTCACAAAAAAACACATAAAAACGTAAAAAAAGCCTGAAAAAAAAGCGCTTCAAACAAATATTATTAGACCAAGGGGTTAAAGGTCCTCCGAATCTAACTTATTAAATATCATTTTCTAACATGATACGAATTATTGATAAAAAATTATTTTGCTCAAACAAAATTGGACGTATTATAAAAAAGAAAACATTGGGTTAATAGTTCTAGCAGCGTTAGAAAATTATATTTAATAAGCTAAAGCCGTTAGAGGGAGAACGTTCAAACCCTTCTACCGTTTTTGATTTTTAAATATTTTTCAAGTGCTTTTTTCAGAACATTTTTGACGGTTTTAAGCGGTTTTGTTGTGGTTTTAAACGCAATATGTTCCGAATCCTAATTATTACCAACCAATATAATCAATACATTATGTATAGGAGACATGAGATTTATGTTTTTATTTCGCCGTTTTCGAACATTGTACGAGCGTTTTTTTAAAAATCTTTTCGGCTTCCGTTTCATAATATTATATACAGTGCAGTGCGAGAGAACGGGAGTTCCGAAATACACGATTCGAGTTATTTTTAGAAATTCGACCCATTGTTTTGCGCGTGTTTTTTTTTTTTTAATTTCAACCGGTTTTTTTCTATCTCAAAAATTACTCAAGATACACAGCTATCTGTAACTTTTATTAAAAAAAAAAAATTATTTTTTAACAAATTTAAAACGTATACGTTATTATGACAGATATGTGTAATTGTATGATTATTTGTACTTATAATAATTTTTCCCTCATGAAACCGTAATAAAATGTATTCACATTAAAAAGCATTTTGACATTTTTTTTTTAAAAAAACCGGCAAAAAATCCTATTTTTTTAACAAACGTAAGTTAGCTTTATCTCGGGCAATTTTTGAAATGGAAAAATTTATATTTGTCAAAGTGAGTTGAAAAAAACCTCGAGCTATTTGAACCTTGCCGATACGCTCCATAGGGGCTTAAAATTGTTGACAAGCTCAAAATGTGTATTCCGGTAAACAAAACTCGGTTCAATCCAAGTCCCTCTGGCTGAAATATTTCGTGTTATCAGTCGAGTGAAACATACTGTAATAGGTTTAATAGGTATGTATTATATTTTTATGTAGAGGGAATCGTACATAATATTATTATTTTAATATATTTAATGTTCCTTTTTTTCAAATTTTATTTTATAAGGTTTTACAGAAAGACTTGGATACGCGACTAGAAAAATTATTCGATTAAATAAAAAAAAAACCCTTAAGTAATGTGTTTTTTTTCCTATAGATTTACAAATTCGGATTAAGGGGAAACAGGGGATGGTTAAATGACTCCAATGGCTTCAATATATGACCATAGTATGTTGTTTATTTATACGCATTTAATTATTAACTTTGTTTTTTGTTTCTTTATAACTTTTAATAATTTACCGTTAACCGATGATGGTTTATAGCGGAAACTACTATAGAAACTTTATTTTTTCTTTTATAAAAATATCTGTATTTATTTGAATAATCTTTAGCTTTTAAAGTTGTTATCTATCATCTCTACGTAATTTATTGATTATCTTTTATCAAAACATTATTGAGTAATAATTTTTTAGGGGGTTTTTTTTTTCTTAGGGCCTCGTTGCAAAGTCTAGTCCCGGGGCCGAAAATCGTCTTATTGCTGGCTTGTTTGCATACAACCTAAGCGCGAACAACGTTTGTTCGAAAAGAATTATAATACTATATGAACGAACGATTTCAATATACATTTTAACGATATTGTTATAGTTAACAAGAATTAAGATATTTTTATATTGATATTGATATATACTTACACAATACGCATTTTTCTATTTAACATAATAATAATAATAATAATAATAATAATAGTTTTAAATTTAAACTTAACGTTCTATATAAAGTATTCTATATAATATTTTGTATAATATAATTATATATTAGTAATATATTTCGATGTACAATAATCTCTATATAAGTGCTTAAAAAGAAAAACAATATACAACAGTTCAGAATTATAAATACAAATAATTATATCACAAATCAATGATTATAATATTTACCCTGTGTAACCCCCTCGGGGGAAAAAAAAAAAAATATATATATATATACATTAGGCAAAGGCATTTTCGCGGGTTGGTAACTTTTAATCACTCTCGACGCGCGCCGAACGTTTTATATTACTTTGTAATATAGAACAATCGTCGGTCGCCGTGTTTTTTAACCTGCGGTTAAAGTTAGGCATATAGATATATTTATCGATAAAGAAAAGAAAAAATTAAAAAAAAAAAAAAAAAACCGATAGAGGGGACCGAACACCGAAAACGACTTTTACTATAAGGGGTGAATGTTTCATCCGGACCCGCGGCGATTTTCTCGGAGAATTTCTCAGTGAATTCGATTTCTGTTTGGGATTTTCCTGTCAATATCATCATTATCGTTATTGCCGTTAAGAATTATTTGACCGTTATTTTTAAAATTTCAACGCTACCGCACCTCGAACGAGAGTGTACACCGGTACATTTCGATTCATTCCGGTGCATTTAAACACAGAGTCGAATTTGAGTTTGTGAGCCGTCGCAGTTTAACATTTAGACCGGACGAGTATAAGAAATAGGTATAGTTATCGTCGGAATACGTATATGAACTTTTACACGACCGTTGCGTACACGTCCGGTCGATATCAATTACGACTTATAAACTGCACAGTGTGTTATATCGAATTATTTTTGAAATATATCTCCATATTCGAATTCAGGGGTGGGCCGCTATTTTAAATGACGACATTCCTTTACCAAATGTGTAAGGAATAGGAGTGAAAATGTGTACATATTTTTAAAATAAAGCATCGAAGATTCCGTAATTACCGGGAGGAAAAATAAACCAACAGAAATCGAATTCACTTACAACGAATAACGATAACGAAATGATCACATTATACAGGTGGGTATATTATACGCGGTGTTTTTCGTTTTCGTATATTTTGTAAAGCGGCAAGGTTCGATTATTGTAAATAAGGGAAAAGGCCTAAGATTTATTCTATAAAACGATACACAGGATGTCCTATACGAACCCATTGGTAATTAAATTTTTTTTTTCATATTATTACTTATTATTTATTACTCACTCGGATATACACTGCATATCATACTTATATTTCAATTAAATTTGTTTGGTTTGGCAAAACATTTTGGAAAATAAATTTTTATTTTATTATTTTCGAACGATTTGAAGATGGCTATTTTTTTTTATAGAGTTTATTCTTCTGGACGTTTGGACGTTTTAACATTCTATTTTCATTAACTTCGTTTATTTCAATAATTTAGTAAGTTCAGAGGAAAAAAAAAACAATTAACTATAATTATTATAATCACGGTGTCTATCATTGATTATGGTTAGGTTAATAAGTTATTAATATAATGACAATTATTATTAGATGACTCGCACAGTGGACAGTGAACTTTTAAAATAAGTCATCATTAGTAAAACTAATTATAGCTAATAGCAATAATAATTAACTGTACGATTTTTTTCTCCGAACTTTAAAAAATTTATTAAAAATCACGAATTTAATGAAAATAAAAAAGTCAAACAGGTTTTTAAAAGCTTATTAAACTTTAGAAAACGGTTATATTAACATTTTTCAAAAACAATAAAATAAAATATTATTATTATTTTTTTTTTTACTAAAAACATAAACATTCAATTCAATTATAAAAAATAAATAATACAATTTTTTTTTTTTTATAGTATTTGTACTTGTGGATAATATACGTGAAATATTTTGTACTTTATAATTTTTCTCGAGAAAAACTGATTTTACAGTAAACTGTGTAATAATAAATTATAAAGACATTAAGAAGAGCTACTAAAATATCTTATATCATTAATTTTTGATCAGTGATATAGTTATTGAATTATTTGCAAAGAACCACAAAACCACCCTATTTCCTCATTTTTCAAACCTCTTGGGGGTGAGTTATCATGACCAAATTTCACACAGATTACTTTTACACGGTAATGAAAAAAAAGGGGGGGGGGCAAGCATCAAAAATAATAATGTTAAAAAATAAGGACCACTCTATAATATATATTATATATGAAAAAAAAGAACCAACAGAATTTTACTATATTTATATTGTCTCAGGAGATGTTGTAACGGGCACGTATTTTCGAGGGACACCCTGTATCGCGTACGCGTGGTTACAGTGCCGGAAAACAACTAATCAAAATGCCGCGGATATAGTAAAATATAAGAGTTCTCGAACAACCGCGCCGAGCTTTTATACGTGCATTCTTAGCGACTGATTTATTACTCGATTTCTATTTCCCAGATTGGTTATGATATTATATATTATCGCGAGTACGGTGTTCGGCATAATATCATTACGCGTTCGCGAATATCGTTTACGAAACCGAATTCATTAATATATATATAATGTATAACTTTATGAGCGAGGTTGACAGTTTCTTTTAATATAACATTGTCCCATAAAACGCTGGAGCCGTGAACGAGTGAATTACTATCGGCGGTACCGAGGGTCGTTTGCTCGAAAACGCGTATAGAGCGGTTAGGTTTTCGAACATTTTTTCCGTGTTTATCTCGAGGAAAGAGGAAACTGCTAATTGGACTCGGGTTTCGAAAATGTCTAAACGCTATAGACAAACGAGTTTGAATATTAACGACGATCAGCAACACGGTTCGCCATTTTTTTTTTTTTTTAAGTAATTATTATTTTGTTTTTTTGTTTTGTTACATAAACAACATAATCAAAAATCAAAGATCGACGCAGGGTCACAGTCAAGAGTTTTAGTCTTTAAAACAGAAAAAACAAAATTATCGTTATCGGCTCGCTCTACGAGGCGTGATAGTTTTTCCTGCAAAGCACGCTTTTAGTGAAGAAAAAAAAAAAATAAGTCACGCGCACGCCTCATTAAAACTATTAGTTCAATTTAACAGTTGACGCAGCTAACATGATGACACAGTTAAGAACACTTAACGTTATGAAACACTATCGGTAAGCAACAGTGAGCCTTCTCGTCGATACAGCCGAATGCCAAAATCAATAATATTTTGTTTTTTTGTAAAATAATTAAAATGACCGTGCACTGAAGTGAAAATATTTGACTATATTGTGGAGTACTATCAACAAAATGACGAAATTTTAGAATGGAAATGGCGAGGGCGAGCGTTGAATGTCTAAGCCCGCAAGAGGAACATCCTTGACGCTGACGCAATGCACAATGATGAATTATACGGAATGTCAGTTCGTATATTTGCCGAGTTTCGAAACACGAGCGAATACTGCGCGAACATACACCAATTATTATTAATTTAAAATTCGGGCAATTTAATAATATTTAAATTGCATATTGGTACAGTACGACTGTCACGGGATGTACGACAATCATAATGTTATGTTTTGGCGAAACGGCGCGGAGGTACAATATTTACGCTTGGTTTATAACAACATGTAAACGGATTTGCAATCGGCTCAATGGTGTATTTACAATTAGGCAAAGAGCCGTCTGGTGTTTGATTTGTTTATATTGACCGTTGGACAGCTGTTATACCTGCGCAGTTCTTTTAACACCGAATAACCGAAATACAGACATACTTTTTAGTTCCTCTGTCTGCATTTTGTAATTTTTTCGGTTGAACGATTAAACCTACCTCCCTTCAGAATTGTCGACTGGGGTAGTGCTATGTACCTAAACCTATAAAATCGTTAAAATATTAAAATACTATATCGGCGTAAGAGGCGGTTGACGAATTGCATTCGGTTTGAAAAAAAAAAAAATAACAGAAATTTCGATTTTGTCCCACATTTTATGCGAAATGTGTTATACAAAATGTTTTTTCGGTGCATAATATTATTATATAGTGAATATTATTGGTATAGTATTTGTAGTATTATAAGTATCTGAAAATGATCGGATATTTATTGGTTTGCGAAAATTAGACTGGAGGGGTGAAGGCCAACGAGGCGTTTGCCTATAATAAAATCCTACATAATATTATAAATACGCCACTAATCCGACAAGTTACAGATTTTTACGATTGAAACTATTGAATATTTTCGTATATGTCGTCTGATATACGTAGGAAGAGAATGGGTGGCAATAAGATCATATGTAATAATAATAATAATTACGAAAAAAAAAAAATGTTTTCACTTTCACCTATGACTAATTCATTTGAATAGACGATAGTAAAATCATCTCCATCATACTCTCGTTTTGTTATGATCATAGTACATTACAATTATATTATTGTTATTATTATTTATTTTTTTTTTTAATACAGTAGATGTTTAAAAATCAAAACGGTTATTATATTAGTGGAATTATTTGAAAAAATAAAAAATAACCACTATCTATACGTGTTTCGTTAACTTGTCTTACTGCAGCTGTAATTTGTACATTTTAATAATATGACGAACTTTGGAAAAAAAACTTTCTTCTCTGTCGACTACCGTGGCGAAATATTATCGAAACCAACTAACTAAAACTATAAGTATAACTAAAAGTAATAATTTGAACGGAACGAGTAAGTATTATACGATGAATATTGTCAGATTTAGATTTGAAGACACATTCGAAACTATTAACTGCGATTTCCATAATATTAAAACACTCAACATCAAAAGTACGTCAATTTTTACACCGTGTAAAATTATTTCAAAATATCCGGTGTTAAACGAACGAAATCATATACCGGGAAAAGGTTAGGAAAGCTGTTAAAAAAAATCAAAAAATTATTGGCAGTTTTGTTTTCATCGCGATGGTAACGAATGAAAAAAGACGGTTTTTCGAATATGTTCAATATCAAAGTGATTTTTGTGGTTTTTAAATTGAATGCACCAAATCGAATGTCACGATAGATTTATAGGTTTTGACATCACCATCCGGGATAAAATAATAACGCAATCAGAATACAGACATTTGACGACGGAAATGTTTTGTACGAGTCACTTGTTAAAGCGCGCCACCTGTTTCTTGGCTCAAAATCACGCTTTACACGAAAACTTCATGCCTCGAATAGTGCTACCCGATTTCGATTATCTTTTTATTTTGAAAATAGGAAAATTATTTCGACCGACCGTTCTCGGCCGACTTCGAATAGATGGGATGAAGACGAAGGAGAAGGAAGGAGAAGATTTTTACGCGTTAGAATTGGATTTTGAAAATTATATTTTTAAACGCTTTTTTTGTAGTTGTACATTGAAAAATTGATGTTCATGTTCATATTCAGACCAATAGACTGGATAAAATTCACCTACCACTACTGTTCGTCCATTTTTAATTTTGAAACTTTTGAAATATAATATTCTAGTTTTTGATTTTTTGGTGGACCATTGTCAGAATTTTTGTATCGAGTTAATTTAGTTAAAATACATAATAAGTTTACATTTTTTTTTTTCTTTTAAATCTAAACTTGTTTTTTGAAATATCACAAATAGTACATTACAAGCCATAGAATATGGAAGTAAACGAAGTCAATGATTTTTCAAAACGGAGCACTACTCTTGGAAATTTACTTCAAATTATTGGTCTTAATATGCATGAAAAAACGTGTCACTACCGTACGCTTTTGATATAAAAATTAAAACCAATCGTTATTTGTTAAGAATTGTTAATATTGAGTAAAGGTCAATTTGTAATAAGCTATAAGCGGGACCTACTACGTCATTGCCGGTGTTCGACGAAACTACGAATTACTGCGGGTTGATTTTTTAAAAATATATTTCAAACATGTTTTGCCGAGAATCAAACACCAATAAAAAACATATATAGTCCTTCGTGCGAGTTAACGTTGCTGACATTTTATTATTAACATCCTGCGTAAAAGGTTTGTATTTTCGCGCACGTCGTACTGCTACATTATTAATCGGGCGCGTCACACAGACCACGTTGTACAAAAGTATATTTTTAATAATATCAGACCGATTAAAACATTATTTTCTATACGCCGGAATGTCAATTAATCGCGTGACGCATAGTGCCGCAGGTATTCGAATAAAATATTATCCGTTTTTGTGTATATTCTTCGATTTAGACGACATTATAGGAAACAATCGAGGTTTTTACCGTATCAGCGATGTGGTTCGACTCGCTCGCGAGTTATTCGTCGACAAATGGGTATCTATTATTATTACAACCGTTCGACAATATTAAAAAAAAAATCTATACATATTATTATCAGTGGCGCAACCGAAAAATGTTATCGAAAGGGGGAGGGGTTAATTTTGAAATCTTCTCGTTCTGTGGTTCAAATACGGGGAGGGGGTTTTGTGGGATCTAGTCCCTCGAAGTCTTCCCACACCCAAGAATGAAGTTCTTATTAAGTGAACGCTATAATATTTATACATACAAATATTACGGGGACTTAGGTCCCATCGAAATATTTGGGTAATTTGCGATTTTATGCTCTCGTTCTCTTAAAAAAGCCAATTTTCCATGGAAATCGAAAACTTTTTATGTGTTATGACTATAAAACTGCGTTCAAAATTATATTTAATTGCATCCGTGACAAACAAAACAATAAGGAAATGCAGTTGTTAAAGGGGAAGTGTTATAAATGCCGCAATCGCCCCTCTGGCTACGCCACTTTATATAATATTTATTATAAATATTTTTGGCGTCGTCTTCGACATGACATATTAAGTATTTATCAAACAATAATAATAATATCGGTCTAAAACATAATAAATCAAAAATGTTAGAAAAATTAAATTAAATTAATGTATAACCAAGTGCGTATAATAATCACCTCTAACTTACTGCAAATCCAACGGTGCTCTGTTTTAAATTTATTTACTACCTGTACAATTTATATAGTTTACGATAGATGTTTATTATCCGCATGGCGTATAATATACATATTATTATAAAGTCTTCTTCTTCTTTTTTTTTTTTTTTTTTTTTTTAAATAATATAGCCTAGGTATATGTAAATTACTTTGGATATCACGTTTCCTTTTATTTCGCGCAGCAATGCCACAGTACATAAATGATGATACGGTAGGGAATCTCTCGTTTACTAACGACGGCCAATTTTAAAACTGCTTTCATACGTTTATACTAAAACGACAAAATGTTCGAACCGCTCGCATTTTGATAATGCATGGTAAATACCATAACCATTTTACTGTAACAGGTCGCAGTTTTGATTGATCATTATTATATTATTGTTAACAGGCGCAGTCTTGGGACGTGGTCAGCCGAATTTAGTCAAACCCTCCAATCGCAGTGAAAAAAACATAAATTCGACGAAGCTTCTCTATTGTATAAAATTCTTTATAAAGTGCTGTTAACGGACACGGGCCGATCCGCAAACATTATTTAACCATTATTTGACAAACAAAAAAATACGCGGTTACTATACGTACAAACTACGAGAGTATACACGATTTCTATAAGTGAACATAAATCATGAGGATTTCCCATAAAAAAACACATTTCGGAATCGAACTCGGTACGATATAGTCTTCACACAGTTCAACTTCTGGTTTTTTCGGAAACTTACGTGAAGTTGGCATTATATTGTAAGGAAAATTTTTCAAAATATATTCAACAATGTTCAAATAGATTATTTCGACAATATTGGACACTTGTTGAAATTTGTTGGAGCCCTTCTTCTTAGATATTCTACGTTCAATTTTATACCGCTAACTTTATATTCAGCATTAAATTTCCATTAAACTATTGAAACTATTTTTGGAATTCGTTTTAATCCCCTTTTTATTTAATCCACGTATGTCTTTGAGGTTCTGGTGATATTGTTGTTTAACTTTGATGTTTGCTTTTTTATTTTTAACTTTTCTACAAAAGAGTCTATTCGAACATTGTTGGAAGATTTTTCAACGGTTTTAATAGAATGTTAGTGCTCGGTGTGAAGTTAGCAGTATAAAATTGAACATAAAATATCTAAGCAGGGTTCCAACAAATTCCAACAATGTCCTGAAACAAGTCTATTTGAACATTGTTGGATATGTTATGAAAAGTTCTGCTAACAATGTTATGCCTACTTCACGGAGGTCATTCGGAAGCGTGCGAGTACGAATAAGTATAACTCACGATTATACTATCGGTTAACTGATGGCCCCAAGTCAAAGAAAATGAGCCAAATGGGGTCAGAGTAGTAAAGATTTGTAAGTAATGTAACCAAATCTCAGTGACCCAGATTTCTGTATGTTATTCTACAAATTTGGTATCGATTTTAGACTTCATTTTGTAGTTTTAGGTTTTTTGTTTGTTTTTATTATCAAAATCTCTGCATATTATCATAGTGATTTTTTGCTCGTCCTGAAATTTGCGGGATAGTATACAATAGCGATAATTGACTTTTTATTTCAGGCAAAAATCGGTAGGAAAACGTGCAGAGATTTCGGTTACAAAACTTACAAATTATTACTATACTGGTCAGTTCTTCCCCTGTACACCTAGCTAATTAGAAAAAAAAAAATCATATCAATACGCATATGTGTTGTATCATGTCAGAATTAGGCATAATATTATATTATAATTAATTGGGACTCGCACACTTTTCCGAATGATGAGAAACCGAATATAACAAAAACCTGTTCAGTAATACCGACTCAGAATCTCGTCCGATCTACCCGGTGTGATTTTTCAATTTTCTTCTCAGCTTTATCCTAAATCCGTCGCGGTTTAAAATTTCTTGGATCAGTGTATTTAGTTTCGACCAAACGAACAGGCGAATTAGGTTTTCGATTTAGGTAGGTTTAATCTAAGATTTATTTTTCATCCATGGTTTCGGGAAAAACACCTGTATAATTTCTAATTAAAAGTATAGAGGACGATTTCGGACATTCCGAAGCGAATCTAACACAATAGCGGGCTTAAGTTCGGCGGATAAATAAATAACGTCCACCGATAGAATTTATCGTCCGGTCCATTATTATTTGCTATACATATAAGATACGATGTCCAAAAAGAGTTGGCGTGGAAGGTTAAAATAGGAACCAAAATACGTAGTGGCGTGTGCACCGATCGAAATACGTTCGGGGTTATCTCTTGTCGGGCAGAGGAAAAATAAATAATTAATAAATAAAAATGAACACCCGCGATTGTATATTGCTGCGTTACGACCTACGTGTGTGGCGCACGGCGCGTTCAGTCTTGTCGTCAAACGAATGGATGGAACTTAAGATTCTGAGAACCGTCGGTGGTGGTGGCAGTGGTGGTGGGGGGCGTCATGTTCGTCATTTCTATTGACTCGGCAACACGGCTACCATCTCCGGTATTTTCACGGGCGGCGCCATCGCCATCGACGTAGCCGTCGCCGACGCGTTCACTTATCATAGCGGTGGAAGGGTACCAGTCCCGCGTTGGGACCGACGGTTCTTCGGCGACAACCGCCGGATCGGTCCGGCGTTCTTCGCGTGGCGACGAAGACGTCGAGGACGACGGTGACCGTTGCCCGTTTCGGCGTCCGTTGGCCGCCACCGCCGAACCACTACCGCAGCCAGCGTTCATCCCGGAACGGTGGCCGTCGTCGGTCACGGCTTGTTGCGATTCATCGTCGTACACCGTGACGGCCACGTGGTCGCTCTCATTGAGCCACTCGAGCACGATCTGCCGGTGCGTCTTGACGAACCGCTCGAACACGTCCATGCCAGATACGTCTGTCTGCACGGCCGCGTCCACCGTGCTGGTCACCGACGACCTGTGATGGTAGTACTGCAACTGCAATTGCTGCTGGTGGTGCTGCGGCTGCTGCTGCTGTTGCTGCGATGGCTGGTAATGGTGAGGCTGGTACTGGTACTGCTGTAGGTATTGTTGGTGCTGGTATTGCTGATGCTGGTGGTACGAGTTATTGTTGTACGGTTGCCCACGGTGGGTCGGACTGTCGTACGGCCCGTCCCAACCGAAGACTTCGGGTGGGTGCGACGAGCTCCGCTGCAGCATGGCCGTCTGCGGTCGCTTCATGTTATCCGGTAAGTCGGGGTTGGACCTGGCCGGCAACGAGTACGGGTATCTGACGTTCGAACTTGTAGTCGCCAGCTCCTGCAGTGCCTGTATGGCGTTTTTCACCTGAAACACGTAAAGGGAGAAGCAATGAAATAATGACCTTTGAAAATTTGGTATCGAGGTTAAAGGTTATTAGGTTAAAAGATATAGATTAGCGGTTGCGGTGAAAAATTTCGCATATGATTTATAGGGCGAGGGCGGTTAGGGGATGGATGCAAATTGTGTTTATAGGTGTATCGAAACTTAAACATCATTGTAAGTATATTTTTAGTTTCGCTTCTTTTTTGGACCAAGTAATTCGTTTTTATATTTTTTCAATTTTCTTGTAGCGTTCAACGATTTAATCAAATACAACTGATTTTTGTAGCTGGGTGATTTTTTTTCAAAGGGAATAATATGGGTTTATTATTAAACCTCTCCGTTGTATGAAATGTTTGACATAATAATATTACGTAAGAGTAATCTAACGGAGATTTGAAAAATACAATAACTTTTGTACTTTTGTTCTGTTGAATATTATTAATTTTTTTTTTTTTATACACGAGCCTTACACAATGATTCTTATATTTTTATATTTTATATATGTTTGTTTAAACCAAAAATAAAAGTTTAATAATGCTAAATAATAATTGAATACAATATTATATTGTAATTTATTATATTTTTGATTACGTAAATAAATAATAACTTCCTATGTAATAACAAACATTATATTATTTATTTAAATTATTGAAACTTAAATATTTTTTTGAAAAATTCATGACTTGTTATTATAGTAAACCTCTACCATGTAAGGTTTACTATAATATGCATAAAACAAATAAATTTATGCTAATAGCTTTCTTGGATTTTGTAAAAAGACATCGTTTAATAAAATTATAATGTTTTTTTCTTTTTAAAAATACAAAAATAACAGTGTAAGGATCTAGTTAAAAAAAAAAAAAAGAGAAAGAGAAAGAGCTGTTACTTTTATTGTTGATGGATGTGCTACTTTTATAGGAGCAAATTTGGAAGGGAAGATAGTAGTTTAAATTATATCTGTATGTAGCGATAGTCTATTGCCAACCAAAAGCGTTTCTGAGCATTTTAAGTATAATTTAGTCGTATTTTTCCATTGTTGCGTAGGTAACCTGAGAAATCAATTTAAATTTTTACAAACAAATATTTTCCAGTTTTTCCAATTTAATTAGAAAACTACAAGAAAATAAAATAAAAAAATGATCGTTCCAGTGCACCAACTAGTTCGAAAATTCTACAAGATAGTTATTAGTAACATAAAGAAGAAAGAAGAAGAAACATTTAGATGTTCACTGAAGCAAGATTTTAGGTAGAAAAGTCGTTTGGTCACAAAAAAAAAAACAAACAAATCATGTCATAGTAAAATTAATACATTCCTTGCTTCAGTGTCGTAGACAGAATTTTCTTTTTTTTTTGGGGAGGGGGAATTAAACTTTTTTCCTTCAGAGATAGTTTAACTAGTGTCTTAGATAAGTTTAGCATGCTGATGGCGAGGTTTTATTCAAGGGTTTGGTTACTGTTTGGCTGTATAAATTTGTATTTATAACGAACTTATCACGCTACCTAGTCTACTAGTAATTATTAAGTCTATTTGTGTGATGACAATAAAAAAAAATCTCGTAATGACGCTATTTCGTACCTCCCGATCGATGCGCGACGGCCAACAGTGCATACAAAAGGTGGCTATAGAAATTTCAACGTGAAGCAAACAGAATGACAAAATATGCAGTTAGAACAAAAAAATATTATTATCCTGTGGTGCACACTTAAATATTGAAGAAAGCTATTAAAGTATAGTGAACGATAAGAAAAGACAAACAAAATAAAAATGACTATTTAAAATCAGATCAGTTAATTATAATTTAATTAGATTCACAGCGACTTGCATAGACCATAGAATAATTGTTTAACTATATTAAAATTTTGGAGTGAGGAGGTGCTGCAGAACCCTCAGCCACCACACCTGGAAACGCCACTATTTCACTACGCCCAGAATCTATGGAATTAAACGTATCGACATTTTTTAATTTGTCGGATTTGTCCTCGGGACACCCGGTATAAATAAGTATGCATTATAATACAGTCGTGGTGATGTAGATAATTATCGACGAACTCTCTCGCCACGCCGATCAGTAAAGTCCGTGCATCAACTATAGCAACAGAGCTACGATTTATCCATAAGGAGGGGGGGGGGGTTACAACATCCAAAACACCCGCTGACGCCACACCACTGGCACCCACAATATGTTTAACGTCAAACCGGCTACACGGTATAATATTATGATTAGGTATTCGCGGTACATTATGACAAACGACGCGTATTACAATAATATTATATATTATTGTAAATACGACGTCATTATATTTCCGGTCGTAAAATTACGTTTAACGTGACGTAGCTGTAACGATATTATCATAGCGTTCGTTTAGTATACACCGCGTTTCATTTAGTATAACGGTAACGACGATAACGCGAAATACGCATACATTTCAGCGCGAATGTTTTTTTTTTTTGTTTTTTGGAAAATCAGGGTATATCAAAACGAACGCCAATTGTAAAAAATGTATGTGGCGCTCGTATACATATTCAATAAAATTCACATTTTGCGAATAGAAACAATTTTGTTTTTTAACATCGGATTCGAATGGTCTTATTTTAATTATTTAACTTTTTGTGAGTAACTTTATTGACTCGTATACGCAATTTGTTTAAATGATTTAAATACAATCGCAAAGCTCTAGTTTAAATTTTAATGAACGAGCCAAAACATTGCTTATTGTAAACGGTAATTAATAATCCAAAATTATAGTTACGCGTGTCAACATTTTTAGACCAATATTGCTTATTCGAATTCGCGTGTTTAGAATCGAGGGCTTAATCCGAAAGTCCAAAGCGTACATTCATATTTCTGGTATAATGAGTAGGGGTGAACAATTTAAAACAGCGGTAAAACGAAGCGTAAAACGGTCCGACGATTGAAAAAAAAAATAAATCGAATTCACTTGTAATCCTCCGATAAAATCACCGGTTTTTTTCGTAATCGGATCATTCTGTGTAAAAAGATACCGACTCGAGTTTTCGTGAACGTTTAAATCGTTTTGCAGTACACGCCGAAACGATAACGATGATAATAATAATAATAATAACAATAATAATAATAAAATGGTCTCGCGCATTTCTTACGGTTGTTGCGCTGCCGTTTTACGGTACCTATAAACACACCCACTCCCGTAAAAACCATATATTTTTTTTTGTCGTTTGTGTGTTTATACGGCTGCGGGCCCTAAAAACGCCTAAACGGATTTAAAGAGGATAACGTTTAACTTTCTCCGATGTAAGTGCCGTCGGAAAGACTTTTTATTCAATTAAAAAACTGCATAATTTATAATAGTCCGCGGAATTTGGCAAACATACGAGAGCGCGCGCGGGCGCAGTAGTTCTAAAGCCCAAACGCAAATTTATTTGCCCGAGTCATCGTTTGCGGAAACTTTTTAATATGTTTATTCGCAATTTATGGGCATCGTTTTGTTATCAAAGTGTTACACAGCTATATTATACCACCTAAACGCTTATACATATTATACGCTTGCGCGTATAACTGTTAAAAGTCTGTCAGAAATGTAAATGAAATACACCCACACATGCATGCATATATATATATATATATATATATAAATACAACTGCGGAATTATATTATCGCCCGTATTTATAATAATAATATATACGAGAGATGGATTTACGATCGTTATAAGTTTACACGATGACTATGCTGCGAGTTTCGTGCCGCGCGTTTTAAACATTTACTTGTTTTTATACCGATTCGGGGGTCGCTCGAGCCCGGATTAAGAGGACTCCGGGGAGCGCCATGTACCCCCCCGGTTGGCCAGACTCCTCCAAAGGTCACGGTTTTTACCGCAGCATGTCCTTTGCGGTCTATTCGAACGAAATCGTTAATTATATGTACCTACTCTGATATTTGAATATATTTTGTTTTCGCTGCCCGACGATGGATTATTCGTATTATAAAAGGGGAAGTTGTATTATATAAGTGATTTTTTTTTTTTCAAAACAAAATGTAGTAATTTATTTGAATAGCACGTGCGGTTTTTAAATTCAGATTTATGATGTATTCATTTTTTTCACTGTTCTTCAGTTAAACCATATATTAATCAGTAGGTAATAATTGTCCACGTTATTTTTTTTATCGGTCTTTTCGAGAACCTCGCTGAAAAGTTTGACCCTGGATGTTTCTAAATGGCTTAATCCGGACTTGGGTTTGCTACGGAAATTTGAAAATTAAATAATTTCAATCAGTTAACGTTTAGATATTTTATTTTTTACCCGGGAATTTCAATTCCGTATTTCCCGTGTTAGTGCCGCAAACGTTATTATCTTATATAATAAAATCGCTAAAACGATGAAAAAAAAATCCCAAGTTAATTTTTCTCAAAATCTTCGTAGATAATCACTGAATCGTAATAAAATAATAAAATCATCCTGTATAATAAGTCGCGGGTCCACGCCTACCCATGAGGATCCAGAAAAATATTAATTTGAAAAACATTGAGTTGGAAACTGGAGAGGGGCAGTTCAAGATAGGTAGCAACGACGGCAAAAACACTTGGAATGAAATCATATGTCATTAGACGAAGAACATTTTTGTTTTTAAGTACCTAAATTACGTTAAACGGATAATAACGTTATTCGGTGTTGACTAACTATACATGGGTAATTATCATTATCAATTAGATATTCTCAAATAATATTAATTGAAACATGATGTGTATATTTAAACAAATTTAAAACGACGCATTATTATGCCCTAATTTATTTGCGTGTGTAAAAAAAGTAATTCTGTGATACAATAACTCATTAGGCCCATGACGGGCACAAACGTTTATATTATTACAACCGGTCTTAGGTCAGGGTGCGCAGGTCTGGTACCTTTAATGGTCCGCAACGCAACGGGTGCAGTACGATTGCGCGTGGTGCCGAAATAACAAAGGTTTTGAACCTTCAAACATTCATCTGGCGGTTTGAAGTTTTATCAGATTTAACGGCGAATTACATATTACATATTGCATCTGAACTAGTGGGTTTACCCGAATCTGACTTGTTCAGTCACTTTCGATTGACAGACAAAAAGTATAATTATAATTCATAAATATAAATATCAAGTATCTCAACATTTTACAGTTTCGCTAAAATATCACGATAATTCTCACATTAATGTTTAGGCAAATAACTTGAATGGCCAGAAAATAACGTCATATTCCTGTACAATGTAATTTACCGTACCATGTTATATTAGATTTTGAACCCAGCGAGAAACGTATTGGTTTTACTATTAAATGATGTGTTTTTTTTCCTATTTGTAAACAGCTTTTATACTAGAAATATTGTTCCGATTATCACGTGTGTGATCTTTTGATAATTATAACTTATAGACTGAAGTGCAATGTCTGTCTATTTTTTGATATTTCTTGCAGTTTGCTCAATAATTGGAAAAAACCGAGGTAAGTAACGCGGCAATAACGATTTCATTATTATCGATTCTGTTTTTTTTTTTTTGTATAAATTGATTGAAAATAATTGTAAAACCCCGACATCTTCACATAATAATTGTATGAGCCTTTTCTAGGGGTGGTAAAATTTGTAAAATATTCTGAACTTTTAGCTGTTTTCGGGCGTTTGATCGTAATCTCGAAATTTCAAAAATGTTTAATCGAACTTCGCTCAGAATTGTATTATGTTAACAATGATTCATCATTGCATACAGATATAAATAATTATATAACTCTTTTTGTTCTAATTTCCCAACTTCTCCTCTACAATAGTGGCAAACACACATTAGTTCATTATAAACATATACACGGGAAATACGAATAAATAATGGCTTATAATCACTTTTATATAAAAAAAAAAAGATCTGTGCAAGAAATGATAATATAAGATTTTGGAATTTATGTGTGGAACAAAATATTAAATAAACTAACAAAAAATATGACTGAAAATTAATCTTTTCCGCAATTTATAATAATTATTGTAAATTATTATTACATTTTCTGTAATATAACAATCTTGCAAGTTATCCAACAATAGTTATAATTTTATTGTGCACAATAAATCGTTCGACGATATAATTTATACTACCTTTATTCATATTTTTTTCTATAACGAATGTTATACATAAATTATATAAGTATAATAATTACGAGAGAGGAAAATGTAGAAATTTCAATTTGAGACCGATTTAAATGCCTTTATATAAAAAGAAGCGGAGAAAGTTAATAATCATAAGATATATGTATTTTTACTTTCATTAAAAATTAGTATTTATTAAAAATTTAATTTCTGGAAATATGTATATTCGTAGGTATATGAGCAAATGACAATTATATTTTCCAACCATTTATTACCAAGGTTATGCAGTTTATTATTCATACTGAAATGCTTTTGTAATCAAAAATGTAAATAAACCTATAGTTAATAACTTACCTCTTGACTTAAAGTCGCAACGTGATAATGAAGCGAAGTGACTTGCGTGTCGAGTCTGTCAACATTGACTTTTCTGTGTTCGGTGTCACTCCGAGGGAGCGTTCTAGATCTAAGAAAAAAAAAAAAAAAATTAAAATTATTCATCTTAAAAATGTTTGCATTTTTATCACCTAAAACAATAATTTGGGAAAAAATCGATATAATTAACGAGAAAATGTTAACTTTTTTAGACTTATTATTTAACAAGAATCGTGAATATTGTTTCAATCGTGTGTTATTTATGGTATTAATTATTGTATTATAATGATTTTTTGTTTTAACAGTCAAAATTGCATTGATAGTTTTTTAATTATTTGTTTATAGTGTCGTGCCAAAACATTTTTTACTTGTCCCATCTGTAAGGTATTGGATCACCCGGAGTTTCTTTTTACGATATACCTATTAACTACAATACAGTGGACCGCACGCTTTGATCAAAATTCAGTCAGATATTTGATAAGCAAATCGTGATCCCGGGAAAGATAAAAATGTAATCTTAGTGTTTTTCTATACCTACAAAACGTTTATCATAAAAAACAATACCATAGCTAATATGGCATAATACGTTAATCAAATATAAAAAAACCATGAAAAATATCTTTGGTTTTATCCTATATATTTTTCTTTTCTTTTTAGATGTTACATTTTGAGCATTCTCGTTAGAAAAAGGGCGTAGTAGGAGCAATTCACTATAATAGTTATAGGTCTACGGTTTCTAATATTATCCATCTCAATAATTGTACTACGCATCCAATAATGCTTAAAATAATATGTCACCTGAAAATCAATGTGTGTTTCCTTGAATTACGAATGTGTGTAAATACCAAATTTTATACGTTTTTACTGTAGAATTAATAGTAATTTGGAATTTCACATCAAAAAACATGTATTTACATTTTTTTCACCTCAGTTTAAAACTGATAATAACTTTTTCGTTACAATTTTTAGTCCAAACGTTTTATAAATAATAATTTAAATGTGTAAGGTAAATTAATTTATAAAGGACGGATTAATTTATAATCTACACCGGTTTTTATTTTTGATATGGAAATTTATCAACGCTTTCAATTTAATAAAAAAATGTTTGTCCCTTGAAATCGGATGTATTTTAGGCCTGTGTGTCTATAAGTTCTTTTAAAATCCGATGAGAACACACGGTATGGTTTAACTGTTGTACAAGACATTATTATGTGCTATCTATCACTTTGAGTTTAAGTTTTTTCACATCATGACCTTCAGTATGTAAAGCAATACTTTCCACAATAATAATTGTTAATGGGATTCTTGAAAGTCTATATACAACAGCTAGTGTGAAAGTTTATTATATCATCATTGTACGGTAATATAATATTACTCGTGGTCAACTGTATTTATACATATATACCTACACTCTAATGGACTATTGCAGCCGACTTTTATCGACTTTTCTAAAAACTGCGAAATAAATAGCATATTGCCAAACTGAAAGTATTTCAAGTTTGTTCCGAAAAACAAAAAACAAAAAACAAAATAGGTACCCATTTTTTAACGGCCATATTGTATAAAAAAAATCTTCGAGAACCTTTTATGGTTTTCGTTAAAAGTTTTTAATGAATGCGTCTATTGTTTAACAACAATACGTTTTTTTTTTTATATTTATTTATTTAAATAAGCTCGTATGTTAAACAAATAAATATAAAAATACATTTTAACAAAGAGAAATATCGATCGGGGAGAATGTACTAGAGATACTTGAGACAAATAGAATCGAGTTGTGTTAACATCTAATGCTCTTAAAGAGCTGCAGTTAAGCTACAGAAAAGAGAAGGCCAGATTAGAGATTTATTATTAAAATACGGTTAGGTCAGTCCTAGTTGTATAGCATCGTATTTTAACGATCACTTTCGTCGTAATTTATCTGTACACAAGATAGACTGGAAATAGACAGAAATACGTTTCATTATTACAATGTTTGAAAATTGAATATTACCATAATTTTGCGTTTTTGGCCCATAAGCTGTGCAAATTAATTGAACGTTTGGGTATCACTAAAATTATAAAAGAAAATATTTTTTAAATTCGTTTTAGTTATTTATATACAACAATGGGTATATTATCTTTATTCTTCATATTGTAATCAGTAAGATATATTCAGGTAAACGAGTATTTAAATATAGATAAGTATAATATAAACGGTATAAGAACGGCTCATTATTCGCCTTTTCTTTTTCTAAATTTATCGTAGTTAAGATTCAAAAGTGAACATAATGTTTATAAAAAAAAATAGTAGGTATCTAAGTGTAGATAACATTTGATTTGTTGTTATTCGTTCTTTTATTACACCTACCCGACGAGAGTTCTCGATTCGCGCTAAGCGTAATCATCATTTTTATACTACAGGTCCGCAACACAATAAAAAAAGAAGTTTTATGATACGAATTTCTCTGTAAATGGTCTTTTTGGAATTTCTGTTTTTTTGTTTATTTTGTTTATTTTACCGTTAGGTATGTATTTCGTTCGTTTAAACTGTTTAGACAGTTAAATGGTTTTTTTTTTTTTACATAAATTAATTTCGTATGGATTAATTAGGTATTGTGTATTTTCGAAAAGACTTTTTACCTGTTTTGTGATAATTTATTGAGGTTAAGTCTGCTTGGGCTGTAGTTGGAGTGTAACGGTGACCTAGAAGGAGGCGATTTCGGTGATCCGTCGCATTCTTCGTGTAAGTTTTCATCGTCTTCGCTTATCGACGGCAATGTCAATGTCGTTACGCCGTTTTGATCGATTTCCTACGCCAATAAAATACGAATTTGTGAAAAATACGCTTAAAACTAAATTATGTTAATCAGTTTATTCGTTAAAATAAATATTACGGACAACGAAAAGTAAACAATTATGTATATATAAAGGAAAGACGAAAAACAATGTCAAGGGCTCTCAAACTATTTTCTCAGTAAATATATATTAATTTTTAGTATTTTTTTTTGTTTTTAAACATTTTTCACCTGATAATACGTCAACGTTTTGGTTTACAATATTGCAGTACCTAGGTATAGTTATACCGTTAAAAATAACTGGTTAATCATTTATGTCAATATTGAAAATAAATCGACTGCTTGTTAACGAATTATTATCGAATAAATAATTGAAATATTATCGGAAGTAAAATCCAAAAGTTAGTGATACTATACTGTTTCAATTTGTGAATCAGGGCCCAAAACATAATAGGTATCGTTGTATAGGCACATTAAATGACAATAATTTATATCGAATATATCGATCGAATAGGATAAGAGAGTGGCGTGTGTAGAGGGTTGGATGAGACTCCTACCCACCAATCGGCTTGAAAATAAAATAACTAAGAATTTTTTTTTTAGTAATTTAATCCTGAAATGTATATACTTCGGCCATGTTACGACGAAAAATTGAATTCTATCGAACAGAAATTGGCTTTTTTTAATCCGGCTTTTAAGTTTCCATTATTGAGTTAGGTACATATTACGATTCTACGATTTATTCATGATTATTAATATTTAATATAGCATCCCCCCTCATTGAAAATTCCTGAACACGTTAACAGAACAATATTTTAAGGGGATCGGATACCAATATTTTCTCTCTTCGTCTAACATATACAAGCCATAGCAATTCAGATCAATTCTCTTAATAAAATATCTATGAATTAAATCGATTAGAACGTTGAAAACTGATTTGAATTCAGCTAGAAATGTACACAAGCCATTTTTTGATATTGAATCTAAGTTTTAATTTTTGAAAACGTATTTCAAATTAAATTTTTGAAAATTAACGGCTGTGGCCCGACCGATTTCATATACCCCTTCACGTTGATCGAATCTGTTTTCAGAACCCAAGACCGTTTCATTAAATATACTATTGACCTAAATTGCTATTTTGAGCACCTATGTACTAATACAAATTAAACATATTTGTCTAAACAAAGTAAGAAAATATCAGCATCCAATCTTTTTAAAGTGAAATTCAACGAAAGAACGTCTCAGCGCAACGAACTCACGTAGTAATTTTCGATCGAATGATAGTGTTTAACGTGTACTTAATTTCCGTACTAGAATATAATAAATTATCGTTTCAAACAGCTATTTTCGCTGAAGAAAATATCACTTTTTAAACGGAATAAAAAATTGCTCTTTTTTAAATAGAAAAATATGAAGGTCTATTCACAAACAAAGCTTTTGCTAGGACGATCGTGCCACTCCTCTTATTGTCGCCGAGTTTGTTAGTTACGATTAAAACGCAATTTTAATTTAATGTTATTAAATTGAACAAAATAGACAAGTGACAAATATCATTGTGGTATAATAAGTCTGGTAGAAAATTTGTTACGGGTTAGGCCTAATCGAAAGTGTTAATACAATTTTTAGGAATAATATAAAATATATGACCGGGTTAATCATAATGAAAAGATTATTAAAAAGACTTGAAGGGTGAGCCACCGTTGTAGGTGGGAAGTTAGGATGATAAAATATACAAAGTGTATATATTAAATATAATAAATGCAATTATTTTATTACTATTCAATATTTTTAAGTTGTTTTCTTGTAAAATTGTTAATGCCTTATCTATTAAAAATTTTTTTTTAAAATAAATGTAAAACAAATTAAATTTGAAAAAAATTGTTTTTATAAAATCCAGGGTATATATCTATTTTAAAATAAAGTTTTGGTGTTATAATAATTATACAAATTAAACGAAATTATTTTTGATATTATTTAGTTTTAGAAATGAAAAAACAATTTAAACCACTGTAAACTTCAAAACTTTTTAGTAAATTAACGATTCATCATTTGTAAATAATTTTAAAAGCAAAATGTCGACTTAAAATCCTACATAATAAAATGGCTATTTTGGATTTTTTAAAAATGTAGTTAGTTAATTTAGTTTTAAACAAAATATAAAATAGAGAAACCATAGTGAAAGGCTCTGGTAATTATTAGAAGAAAAAAACTTAAAAAGTTTTCAGAACAAAAGTTATAGCATTCGTTAGATCTCCGTGAAGTACAATGCACGGAGTAATTTAATTTATATCTGTACACAACAATAAATCATTGCTAACGAAATTAATTCTAAGCGAAGTTCGGGTAAACATGTATCACTAAACTTAAAACAGAAAATTGTATTGATTTGTAACTACAAATTATATTCTCCGTGTTTTTTCGTCTTAAATATGAGCATTTTTGAAAAACCAAAAAACTAAAATCCACATAAAACAATAAAACAAAAAGAGCTAATACTGAAAATTGGTACGGCTATTGTTATATGTGGGATACATAAAGTTTTTTTAATTTATACCTGTAACTAACGATAAACTATTGCTAGTGAAAAAAGATTCAGGGCGAAATTCGATTATACATGTTTTGAAAGACTGTAATATTCACGATTTCGTTAACATTTAATTTTTAAATTCTCATATATATATATAAAAAAAAAATACTACATTATTCACTCAATTTTATTTTTTTGACCACTAATTACGACTTATAATAAATCTCTTGCCATATTTTAAAGTATTTCTGTTCGATCTCATAGTTTTATTCATAGAGTACCAAACAAATAAAAATTACATAAAAAACTAGCATATTAAAATGTTTATAAATAGCTCAAAAATAGCTTAAATGCCTTAAACATTTTACCACGTCTACAAAAAGCAAATATAAGTTTTTTGTTAAAATTTCAAGTCTCTACGGATATTTTTAATTGGCTTATATTAAAAAAAAGAAAAATTTAAATAATAAAATTATTATTTTCCTGTACTTTCTACTTTTCGGTTTGATCAATTATTAAAAAACTACCAATAAAATCAAAAAAACGTTTTAATTAAACACAGAAAAAAAGGTCTCTTGCTGTTTTTCCATCGGAGCAATAATTTTGGTAGAAAACATAAGCCGTAAAAATGTTAATTAAAAAAATCTTTGTGCTATAAATTTATCAGCTTTCATTTTTCGTGATTTTCTGGTTTTTCTCAATCATTACAAAAAAAAAAAAACAAGAAAAATCAATAAAGAAATTTACTTAATCCCAAATTAGATTAAAAACACAACAAAAAAGATCTCTTGTCGTTTTTATATTGGAGCAATATTTATGGTAGAAAACATCGTGAATAAAAATTAAAAGCAATGAAAACACGGTAATGTCACCGTGCACGGTAAATATTTGGTGTTTTATCTATAATTTTCTTTTGGATTCTTCTTAATTATTTTGAAAACCCCTTAGAAAAACCAAAAATGACTCCCTCATTGCAATAACTAGAAAAAGTCACCTTTCAGAAAAGGGGCTACACTCTTTAAAAATGTATTTCTTCAATACACCAAAAATATAAAATTTTAAATTGGAAACCATCATAAAGACGACGATCGGAATAAAATTGCACGTAGAAAAGTCGTAAATAAAATGAAAAAATAAAATAGGCGGAGGTTAGTCAGGGAGATATAGAGCGATGTAATATAACAATGAACCGTTGAAAACGAAAAACGATTCTGAACCGAGTATCATTCTAGTCGTATGGTTTCGGAGGTAACCTATGATCAACAACAATTGCACAAAAGAATTGTCAGCTTTTTCTATTTATTCCAATAGCTACAATAATACCAAAACATTTTCACTTCGCCAGAATCTAAAAGCACACAACATATTAAACCAAACTACATTATACTTTGCCACGCTTAGAATCTTATATATTTAAACGCACTAAAATATATGTTTATCGAAAATTATTAATATACATTAAAGGCATAATAATAATAAATATTATTATATTTAACTATCTAATGTGTTTCGTGCAATTGATTTGAGTAATTATGAAAATTAATTTAAGTTTAATATTATATTATATACGGCACGTTGAAGTATACATACATAAATTATCATCTTTAAACATTTATTCGTTAATTATTATTCCATAATAGCTATTAGATAACGAAAATAATATTATTAATACTATGTAAAGATATATATATATATATCACATGTTATAATAATATTACGTATATTATATGCTTTCAATTAAAACAAAATATGTACTTTGTGAGGTTTAATTACTTCGGCCTCGTATCCTTCGCGTATGTTGTACGTCAGGTCGTGTTGTATATCGTTGGCGAACTCCTGTTGATATTCGGGGTAGAGCCGCAACACTTCCACTAACCCCAGCACGTTAATGCATTTCAGGTCACAATAAGTCAAAGCTTTGACGTCGCAACTCGACTTGACCACTGTGTCACCACTCGTCCCGCCGACGGTATTTCCGCCACCGGGCCCGACGCCCGCGTTACCCGAACCGCTTCCTTGCCCCAGCCACATGCTAATGTCACAACCGACTAAATCGCCTTTGCCTAAAAAAAACGATTACGTTCACGTCAAAAAACCGTTTTAAATAACGCGTGCAAGACGAATTACATTTTATTAGTGAATTGATTTAATTATGTGATACGTATATAATATTTTCGATAGTGAATTATTAAATTACCTATTGCCCACCTATTACTATTATCATTTACCTAGCTATTATTATGTTGCTATTAAGATGTAACATTTGAAGAAAACATTGGTATTTTGAGGATATAGAAACAGAAGAAATAATAAATAGCACAATATTTTACCTAAAATGGCGACGACCATTTCATTTTGCACGACTTCCATGGATCCATTACACAGATAGTAAATGGAAGTGAGGGCGTCGCCTTTGTGGATGAGGTATTCACCGGGAGCGCAAAAATTACTGCGTATGTGTAACGATAACAGTTTTAGACAACCCTGCGAAGCGGATTCGAAAATGGGCAGCTGCAGGATCTCTCGATGTAAATGCATAGACACGTCACCCCTGAGCTCTTCCGGAAACTCTTTCAACGTCTGGAACATTAAACAGACACATACAAATATACCTTTAATAATATAATTATATTTATTTATATTTACCTCGTGAATGTCGATACCGTGGTTGAGTGACCACATGGTCTGGAAGTAATCTTGCATCCTGTGCTTTAGCTCACTGGGCACCTGGTGCAGCGTCAGGAAGTCTTTCAGGTCCCGCCACTTGCTCTGGTACAGCGACCGCCGGGAGTACATGCGCTGGATGATGGCCGTCACGTTACCGAACACCACGGCGTGCATGAGCGCTATATACACGGTCACGACCGGACGGGGGACACAATACTTTCAGTTATCAGACACGAAAACAACAATAACAACAACGGTAATGACAGTATAACATTATACTATACTGGTTGTTGGTGGTTCGGTGTTTACCTCCAATCAACATCGTTATGATGCTGAAAATTTTCTCGGCGCCAGTCGTGGCCGACACGTTACCGAACCCGACGCTGGTCAGACTGGAACATGTGAAATACAATGAAGTTATGTACGCCTCCGAATTCGTCACATTGTCAACGTTGACATGTAGACGTTCCGCTAAACTGTTCATCCATCCTGGAATTAAAGAAGAAAAAAAACAAACAAAAATAATATGAGTTGATGCAGTGGTCTTTATAGAGTTAGAAATGTTCAAGGACAGATCTCGTCGCTTATACTATAACAGCACATATGTATCTCAACATTTAATGAAATTAGATTAATATTAGGTATCGATATAATTAATAATATAACATAATATAATAATTAATAAACAATTGTTTTCGAAAATGTTTTGGTTACACTGTAATAAATCGCGCAAATGGTAGCACTACTTTATCAAAACTTTGTATCAACATAACGTACTTCAGCCAAAACACATAGCAATTATTGTATTATGCTGAAATGTTCTTTGTTAATACCAACATTAAATAATTTCTAGACAATAGTGTCATTAAAAATAACGTGCGTTTCATTTTTTTTTTTATTCGTAATAGGAGGAACGGAAATTTGCGTTGACGTTCCTCTGAAATACAAACTCTTTCCCGTTCCTCGTTTTTATATTTCGAAAAGAATACGTTTTAAGCTTTGTCCTTATGAAAGAAATACATTATCTACTTCCCAACACTGCTTGAAAGTAAAAAAAATTGAATTTTGAATTAAAAAAAAAAAAAAACTAGTAAGTTACATAAATAATACATAATTGAAAAAAAAGATAGTTGGTAGAGTAAAATATAATAGTAGAGTATAATGGTAGAGTAATATTGGTAGAGATATGTGTACCTAATCCCCCTTCTTAATATTTTATCGAGTTGACGATAAAAGTTTTAGATCAAAATCCTATTTGTAATTTTCATTTGCCAGGATACTATAATGATAAAAAAAATACATTTTTTTTAAATCTATAATTAGTTTAATGTATTAGTTAGTCCTTGTCATCATAATAACGAATCGTTTGATTTTATTTTATGTAAAAGTAAACGAAAAAATACTGTATCATTTAAAATAGAAAAGAGCCTTGAGTGTTAGCTATTATAAGTGTGGTTTATAGATTTTTTTGTGACCAACGGTGCAGGATTTTCGACAAAAGCAGTTGTAATTAAAGTTCAGCTTAATAAAGCGGATTTGCTTTGTAATTTTAATCCGTAAAAAATGTGCGTTTTTATGATATTTTTTTTTTTTATGACGAGTATTAAACTTTACATTTAAATTTTAACGCCTCTAAAATAACATTAATAATGATAACAATGATATTATTATTGAAGAGCCCAGATAACAATGTAAAATTACTTTTTCCGTCCTTAATTATACATGTATAGGATATTGCATTCTTAGTATACAGGTATTTATACACTTCAATTCGCGTATCAGCCTTTATTGAACCGTGATATTTAATCCGGGGGAGATTTGGACAATTTTGTTTGTGATTATTGACCACTTCCCTCTACCTCCTGATAGTTTACATGAGGGTACAATTTTGACAATTTTTGCGGTTTCATCGGTATAATGTATACGTATCGATTTTAAAAGTGAAACATTTCGCGTTTTTTTTTTCCAATTTTTCGAGTTATTTTATTATAACGCATAATTAAACACAATATTCACTCATTTTTCTATTATAAAATCCAAATAATATGTATATATAATTGGTTAGCAAGGGCTCACTGACGAAAAACTAGCAGCTAATAGGTGTGACATGATACTGACCAGTGCCAAAAATAAAAGTTATGATACGTTTTTTGTGTATGCGAATATATCGCATTACGTTATATAAAGTAATAATAACAAACTGTAAAAAAAAAGTATCGTATTACGTGGTATTGTACAATTTTATAATATTCTGGAGAGTCTCGCATAGTAGGCGTTTTACGTTGAATATTAGTTTCCGAACGAACCCTTCGATACTTGATGTATATTTTTTATGAAATAATTTTTGATCGTAGAAATTGGGAAAATAGGGTTTTTTATTTTATAGAAAATTAATTTCGAGTTTGTTGAAAATATTTATTGCAACGTTGCACAAATAAAAGTAATAGGAATACTTTGACTGCAACTATATATACCTACCTTTACAGGTTGATCAACTTATCCCGAATTAGCGATTTTCTCGAAAGATTTAATTTTTTCAGTTCCCTGGCTTGAATTTTATTTTATTTTTATTATTATTTTATTTTTCTTATGATATCGTTATGCATTATTTCAATGTGCATAACTATTGTTATTATGTATATTATATTTATTATCAGGGGTAGTGACTTTCGTGGCTAACAGTAAAAAGCAACTATCATCGCGCCGGGCCGTTATCGTCCAGGCTGATTAGGAGAAGAAACGCTAACGCATGATCCTCCCGGTCCGGTGAAGTCTATTTGGGGGGTAGGAGGGAGGAAGAAAAAGATAAGCCGATTGAATGATTATATTTTCGTTACAGAATATGCACGATTTTTTCACCGCGGAATCGCATGTTATGTGCCGATGTCTTATACTGAATTAATTGACGAAACATTTTTGTAAGGGTGTACGATATTTTAGTTTATTTTTATACAACAAATAGCGGACCACGAAAGTTTTTCAGCCCATCGCGCACTTTGAAAATTTAAAACACAAACACAACTTATATAATATTATAAAGTGGCGCATATTATTTTTCGTTCGTAACTCGTTTTATTGTTGTTTACGGTTGAACGTTTATCTTTGTACTTACAGTTTGCATAACAAAATAAACGTCATTTTTAGTTTTATACGTTGCAGCGGTATAATAGTTTTAATTAATAATGTTACATTCTGGTAGGAAAAAATAAAAAAAAGCTGATACTGCTGATAGATATGCTGCTGTTGTAAATGGGAAGTTTGTAAAGGAGTATATACATAGCGTTATGATTTATATCTGTACGAAACTATTCTAGCGAAAATGAATCTGAGCGAAGTTCGGTTAAACATGTTTTAAAAATTTCATAGTATTTACGTAAATTTGAACTTGTAACACGCTTGTCGCTTATTACTTATTGAATTACGCTCAACTTTTTTTTTCACAACTATAAGTACAATTTATAATAAATCACGTGTTTACTTAAAAGTCAAATTAAAAAATGAAAATCATTCAATTATCAATCATTATCATTAATGATCTCATCAATGTACCAACTAGACAAAATTTGCTACCAGAAACAATTCCAAAAGTTGATGAACAGAGGGAGATTCTAGTAGAAAAGTTGTTCATAGACCAAAAAAAAAAACACATAATAAGTAAAACCAATACATTTGATTCTTCGGTGGCCACAATATCCAAGTACCTTTACGATCGGTTTGGTATAAAAATCTAGTCGTCTGTTCTTAACGGTAACGGAATAATAAAACTAGGAACCTTTTTTTTTTACGATTTTACGATTTATGATTCTAAAACATTCTAAAATTTGGACAAACGTGTATAGGCAATTAAAAATAAAAAAAACGACTCGAGTATTTTATATACTTCTGCAGAAAACGATAACGAAAAAATGATAGAAAAATATAAAATAACATTATGGAGAGAAAAGGGTTGAATTTAAAGTATTCCCACAGTACTGATGTCATTTTAAGTATTTCTAAGCTGACCAATTATAGTTTAAATTTTATATTCACTATAAGCACAAATTACAAATCCATTAAAAAAAAATCACTCACAACTACAGTAATAAGACCGTGCAGCACACAACATAACGGGATTAGAGAAATATTGTCCGAGGTACCAAATTTGTAACCTTTGTTTCCAACATGGTAAATGGGCATTGTCGATAAGTCAACAATTGTATGTATATAATAGGAAATATCAATTACTTGGGTCAATAATCTATGGAAAAAAAAATGAATTAATCAATTTATTTAATTACTTGAGATTCCGAGGAAAAAACATGTAAGTTTTAAGTTTCAGGTTACGTTCGTCGTATCGTTTATACATAATGAATTATACCATTCGGCTAATCGTTTATAAAATAATCAAACGGTTTCTTTGGAACAAGTAAGTACTTGCGGACCGACAAAAATGTATCTATCGTTCCCTATTGAACGATCGCACTTTATGTAACTTTATTATTGACTGACGATTCCATACTATTATATTATATATATACCTATATAGTATCCTGTTCAAATAAAATCATTTGTGTTTGCCCATTTGTGATTGGTTTACCAACCAACGTGCCGTAAACTTTTACAAATCACATTATTGAATTCGAATTATCAAAACATTATTAGATAAATTTTTCGGTACTTTATTTTATTATTATTTATATAAATCAATGTTATTTATTTATTCCGTCGGGTCGATAAACTGCAAACTGATCGAGACAATAATTTATAGGTACCTATAGGATACCTACTTATGTAATCGCGTTTGAAAAAATATTACCGGGATAAAAATAATAATTTGTTCGTTCAGTTTTTTGGAAAAATCGTATTTCAATATAATACTAATTTATCGCTAGCTGTTAAAATCGTAAACAATTATTATTATTATTATTATTACTACTGTTGAATGCCTTTAGGTAGGTAATATTTTATCACCTAGTTTCTTTTCGCATAAAGAATAATTTATATAAATTGAATTGTTTAACGGTATTTTCGGAACTTAAACCACGGTGGAGTTATCACTAAACTACAACTTCCTCCGTTTATACAATCATATAGACTGTATATAATAACCAAAAACCAGTATCGTTTCTATCAAGTCTATACCTTAATTTCCGATACATCATCAGATAATTCACGGCGTAAACAAATATTTCATGAGTTAGCCGACACAATAGTCTTCGGTATACGGCTGATAAACTTCATATGTATCCCTTATGGGACTCATGTCATGCAGACATTCGGCCATTTAGTTATTTTACATAACTATCTATTATATGATAATACCACGATAAATCGCTGTCGGCCAAATATCTTTAGTAAGCCCTTAACGGTAGTTTTAACTATAGAACTGTATAATTACAAAACGTTTTACCAGTTTTCACAGAAAATACGGATAAAATAATTTCAACTGTCACTTTTAAATTTATTCGAAAGTTAATTTGAAGTTATTGCGAAATAATTCGTAAACTTCAATAGAAGTATTATAAATTAAATATATTTTTTTTCAAATTTATATTAAAATCGTCTACATATAACTCTTTAAAAAAATCGGACGTATCCTATTAATAATATAATATATTGACTTGTTCTATGTAATTATACGCTGAAGCCACGTAGGTATCGTTTGCCTATATATTTTTATTCGTACGATGGTATTTTTTTGACGGGGTGTTTTGATGTTTTTTTTCGTTTGCGGTCCCGCGGAAAATTACAATAATATTATGTTATAATTTTAATAAATTATCTATTTTTGACACCTTAAACACCTTTGGTCGTGTAATATATCATAATATTATACAATATAAAAGCGATTGAAAATTACCGAATCTCGCGGTAGGTGCGAAAAGCATAGAAGAACCCCTCTCTCCTATCTGCGAGTAACCTTTGTCTAAATTTTGCAAAACATCCAGCCGTTACAGAATAATCCGGGCCATTACATAACAATTACATTAATAAATTACTGTTATTATGCAGTTTTTTAAATTTATTTTTAATATTGTTTTTTGTTTTCGAATATTCACTGTTGTAGGTACGTATATACCGAAATGTATTATACTTGTATATAGTACCTATACCTTTGATTGCGTTTTCTCACCGAAAATAAAATCGTACAACATAATATAAATAAAAAATAGAGAAATGATTTTAGGGATCATAATATTAATTTCACAAAAACTAAAATAGATTGTTCCTGTACCGACAGGGGAAGATCATTTTATTACTTAAATTATAAAGGTACTCTAGGCCATAGGTGGAGATGATGGAATATTGTAAAAAATATGCGTGTACTCGTATATATTAAGTTAAACAAATGTTTGACCTCCTTCTCCACCTATCGAAATTTGATTTCAGTTACGATCTTGTAAGGATTTATTATATCAGTTGATCCTCCTTAAAATAGTTGGCCAATTGAGTATCGATGTGTTTTTTTTTTTTTTGGTAAGTTAAAAAATATTAACCCGACTCGCTATCCGATTGTGTGCTTAGGTCCCATAAGAGATAATATGAAAATTGAAAGTTATACATCTTAGACGTCGAGGATATAGAAACCAAAGAAGACTTGTTAGAAAAATTTAAAATATTTTTTCATAATAACATTTATCACTGCATAATTTATGGTATAAAAATTCGTGGATTAATAAATCAAATTTGCTTTTTTGATGTATGGTTGCCCATTTACCCATATAGTTACCGCTATTTTTTTCGCCGTCGATCAATATTATTTTTATCGTGTACATTTTTTTCTGGGCAAACAAAATATTATAACGTATTACCTTACGAGCGAACGATGCAGTTGAAAAACGAGGACATGTCCACAATATTCTACTCCGGCGCATACGTATTAGAGACCAGCTGAATTACTATTAAACGAAAATTTAGACACCCTATAGTAGTAAAACTCAAACAAATACTCATTAAATTACAGGACGGCCGAGTTAAAATACTATTATTATATTATTATCGTAAATGACAAATTTAACAACAATCATAATATTATAGTTTCTATTTTGTTCGTCAGCTTTTACGTAATAAAGAGTGAGTACGTTGGATCAGTTCAGTTCAGTCAGGTCCAGAACTATAACTTATACCCGAACCAGTGGTTTGCATCGTTGCACAAACAAAACGAACTCCGGTGTAATGTAAAAAAAAAAAAAATATATTAATTATAATTGAAATACCGGTCCGGTCCGATTCGTTGGGCCGCGTATGAAGGAAAAAATGTTATAAACATGTTTGTAGAATTATATCCGAATAATTTAACTATACCGACCATAAGTACGTGAAAATAAATAATGATGACACTAACGGTTTTAAACTACCATAATTATCACACCTAAAAAAGAAAAATATATATACATACACATAGTTTTAACGATCCGTAACGATTTTCGCTCTCGGGCGGTTATATTACCTGGCTATTTCTATGCATTATCATTAAAACTGTATACTTATTCAATGTAAAAACACTGTATTTTCTTTTCTTGAATGCAGTGTCAGCCTAGCTACGACTCTGTCTAGCACTCAACCTAACTCTCGGAACAACGTTCGGTTGTTGAAAAGTAAATTCCGTATCAATAACAGGCATGATATACGTTTGCTATATTTTATAACTCAAAGTTGTTGTAACTTTCTTTGTGGGTACCTATAATAATTTACGGTTTCAAGTTTTGCATAACTTAGAGTACCGCTGTGTATATACGGTGGCACGGACGTAAACAACAAGACTTGTCAAAACAGTTATTCGATCTATCTTAATAATTTCTAATTGGGCAAGAAGAACTTCGAGTGGGTATCCGTTAATTTCTGTCCAACAGTATAAGATGTATTGATCGATTATTTTTAATATGTCCCTATATTTGTGGATTTTATATTCTAAGACTGTGTTCCAGAGTGATAAGAAAAAAAAATGTATATTATATATTACGTATCACTAAATTAAGAACTGTAATCGTGAACTAAGATTATAATTATATATTATTATGTATCATTGATAATATTATTATGATTCTCTTTTTTTTTTTTGTCAAATGAACGTTAAATGAATGAAAAAAAGTCATTCGCGTTCGTATAATAATTAAACAAGTACACATAAAATTGAACGCGTTTTTCCAAACACTGCTATGATATGCCATTATTAATGAGAAACGATTCTTAGCCGAGCATTAATAGTAATTTTCTTTTATTACCAAAGTAATTCAGAAGTTAACAACAATTATAGAAAAAAACTGCCAGTTGTTCCTATCTATTAAGAAAAATACAAGATAAATTTAAAAATAACCTCTTCAATGCACCAATTAGATTAAAAATCCTAAACAATTTTTGATTGAAACAAGATTTTTGCTAGAAAAGTTGTCTACGGACATCAGTTATGATTTTGTAAAATATCAAATAGGTAGGTACGTGAAGCTGCCCAAGTGTTAGTCATGTACTTAGCACCAAAACTTTAAAAGTTGAACAACTTTTTAAATTTTTTCCAACAAATTTCTGTAACTTTCCAACAATATCCAATAAGTCAGAGAAGAGATTGTAGGAAAGGTTTTTTTTAAGGTTTTGTGATCTTTGTTTTGTTAGCTCTACGTACCTCAAATAGGTATGTAAAACAATGACAATAGTTCGCAACCTCTTTTTTGTCTATAAGTATTACACAAAGTGTCTAGAAAAAAGATTTTAGTAAACTTTCCTGTTTTTGATACGTTTATCCAGATTATTAAGAAAACTATATAAAGTAAGTCGAAAAAATGACCATACATACCAAATAGACAACGTTTTATTTCAGAAAAGATTCTACTCCTGAATTTTAGAGCAATATTTCTGATAGAAGAAAAAAGAAATAAAGAAAATGACTCGGAAATTCAAGAGACATTTTAAATTATATATGCGTCCAATTATTACTCATTTATGATGAACGGTCAACGAACGGAACTTTACGAGTACTTTTACAAATTTTACAGCACTTAAAAAGTTTTTCCGAGAGTAAAAAAAATATACATGGTAAAATAATTATTAATAATAAATACGACTAATAAAACTTATTCCTTATAATTTATAATTAAAACAAAATAAAAACTTTTTACGATTTAATTTATTAACAGCATTAAAATGATTAATTTGAAGTGTTTGTTATTTTTTCCATTTTTTGATCAAAATTTAATGCCAAACAAAATA